AATAATAATAATAATTTTCAAACACCAAGATCCAGTTCCCCAAGTTATAGCTCTCATGGACATATGTGTTCCTCGCAATATCACTTCACACACAAGCAGATAATGACAAATACAGTATCATTGTATCTGAGCTAATATACCTTTCAGATAATTACAAACTATTAGCAAAGATTACACACCACCTACGGTCACATGCAAAAGAATAAATTTGGACCCTTAATATCATCAACAAAAATCAATACAAAATGGATTGAAGAGCTAAATGGAAGGCCTGAAAGTATAAAACTCTTAGAAGAAAATGCAGGGAAAAAGCTTCCAGACATAGATTTGGCTATTATTTCTTGAATATGACACAGACAAAAGAAAAAACAGACAAACTGGACTTTATAAAAATTTTAAAATTTTGTACATCAAAAGACAATATCGGCCAGGTGCGGTGGTTCACACCTGTAATCCCAGCACTTTGGGAGGCCGAGGCAGGCATATCACTTGAGGCCAGGAGTTTGAGACCCCTGGCCAACGTGGTGAAATGCTTTCTCTACTAAAAATACAAAAATTAGCCAGGCCTGGTGGCAGGCGCCCATAATCCCAGCAACTTGGGAGGCTGAGGCAGGAGTATCACTTGAACCCGGGAGGTGGAGGCTGCAGCAAGCTCAGATCACGCCACGGCACTCCAACCTGGGTGACAGAGCAAGACTGTCTCAAACACAAAGACAATGTCAAGAGCAAAATGTCAACCAACAGAATGGGAGAAAATATTTGCAAAGCATGTATCTTACAAGGGGTTAAAATCCAGATTATGCGGAGTTTCTAAAACTAACAAAACAATCTTATTCAAAATGTGAAAAGGACTGGAGTAGACATTTCTCCAAAGATATACAAATGGCCAATAGCCAATAAGCACATAAAAAGAGGCTCAATGTCACTAACCATTAGGGAACTAGAAATCAAAACTACCGTAATACCTCCCATCCATTAGGATGGCAACTACCAAAAAAATATATATATATATACCAAAATAACAAGTTTTGATGAGAAGGTAGAGAAACTGGAACCCTAGTACCCTAGTAATGTATAAATGTTAAATGGTTCGGCCACTGTGGAAAACTATATCATATTTTCTGAAAAATATAAAAACAGAATTAACAAAAGATACAGCAACCCATAAGAATTGAAAGCAGGCTCTCTCCAAGAGGTATCTGGACACTCATGTTAATAGAAACATTAGTCACAATAGCTGAAACATGGAAGTAACCCAAGTGTTCATCAACACGAAGGGATCTGTGAAACATGGTCTGTAAATACAGCATTTGTTACACAGCCTGAATAAGGAAGGAGATTCTGACATGCTGTGACATGAGTGAAACTTGAGGACATTATGCTAAATGAATAAACCAGTCACAAAATAACAAATACTGTCTGATTAAGTATATGTGAGGTACTTAAAGTGGTCAAAATCGGGGCTGGATGCTGTGGGTCACGCCTGTAATCCCAGCACTTTGGGAGGCCAAGGCGGGTGGATCATGAGGTCAAGAGATCAAGACCATCCTGGTCAACACGGTGAAACCCCATCTCTACTAAAAATACAAAAAATTAGCTGGGCATGGTGGCGCGTGCCTGTAATCCCAGCTACTCAGGAGGCTGAGGCAGGAGAATTGCCTGAACCCAGGAGGCGGAGGTTGCGGTGAGCCGAGATCGCGCCACTGCACTCCAGCCTGGGTAACAAGAACGAAACTCCGTCTCAAAAAAAAAAAAAGTGGTCAAAATCAGAGACAGAAAGTAGAGTGATGGTTTGCACCAGCTGGAGAAGAAATGGGAGTTACTGTTTTATGAGAACAGAGTTTCAGTTTCACAAGACCCGCAGTTACGGAAATGGATGAGGGGATGCTTACACAATATAAATGTGTTTAGTGCCACTGAACTACACACTTAAAAATGGTTAAGATGGTAAGTTTTATATTATGCATATTTTCCCACAATAAAAATATTTTTTGAGACAAGCTCTCGCTCTGATCCCAGGCTGAGAGCAGCAGGCCAATCACGGCTCCCTGCAGCCTCGCTGCCTCCCCAACCTACCCGCCTCCCCTGCCCAAGTAGCTGGGACTACAGGCACACACCACCATGCCCAGCTAATTTTTTTAGATTTTTGTAGACATGATGTCTCGCTATGTTGCCCAGGCTGATCTCAAACTCCTGGCCTCAAGTATTCCTCCCACCTTGGCTTCCCAAAGTGCTG